TATGTAAAAATATCAACAGGTTTACATGTCAATTTTCGGAAACTCAGCGTAGTTTTTCAGAGACCCTCTGAAAACCCCATTTTGAAGGTCCGCCTCGAAAAAACTTTGCTTGAAGACAGATGCTCCTGGGTCTTGGCTATCGAACGTTGAAAACCGCAAGTCTCTATCTCTTTCCTATCAAAAGTTATTCATGAAACAACCACCCGCCTTATATTTTGGCGTCGACAATAGTATCACAACTTTTAATTAGTCAGATGTTTTTACGAAGTAAGAGACTGAAGCAGTCTTAACTCGGATTCAGATTTGTACGAAGGCTAATTCTAATCGATCTTGACGATTGATGATTTGAAAATATGCCTGTCTATTGTCGTTGAATTAGATCGTATATAATTATATATAAATGTATAACACAGGACCTCCACTTTTTCCGAGTGATGAATAATAACTATTTTGCCAATTTTTCTTTGAATAATGAATGAAAGAAGCCATACCATATATATTTTATACAGGGTATAACAAAATTACAGACTCCCTCAGATATATCGACAAAAACGTTTACTTTACTTCAATAACGAATGACATTGATCTACAACTGACATATGTATGTAAGACCTTATAAGTACTATCTAACACTTCTCCACCCACCTTTCGTTTCTTGCTATTTCAAGAAGAAAGTAGAAAATTTCAAAAAAATCACTGTCACATTATCAGAGACGCCCTTGGCAAAAGAAAATGTTTCTTCTTATCCTAAATCGCATCAAACCTCCATGTTTGACATTTTATTATAACGCTAACTATTTTATGCCTATTTCATTTTACTTGAGGCTTTGATTGAGAAAATATTTGTTCAGAATTTCAAAATTTAGAATATTTCCTGACCTTTCGTTGTTGGTAAGTTAACTTTGGCCTAGAGATAATTTCTTTATGATTCTTATCTATTTGAAACTAGAACAGTGGATATAGTTTCTTAGAATAACATCAATAGAATCGAAAAAGTACCATATGAAGTGAAATTAGAAAGAATTTAGTCGGATAAAACCAGTAAACGTATGCGTTTTGTAAGTGACCTCTAAGCAAGTTTTGCAGTAAGCACATAGTTTCAACTTACAAATAAAATTTAACGATATGGTTGGAAAGAGCACATCAAGTTGTACTTGAAACATGAAAAACCTAATACGAAATGCGGCCTCTAAAAATGGTTAGACATGGCACACAATATTGACTTATTCTAAACGTAATGTGAAAATGACCGTTATGAACGCAGCATCGCTGACACAACACGTAGAGATGCATATTTTTGGCGAAAAATAGGGTGAGGCACTTTTGCATTATATTCATGTGTACCTTGCTGTTAGAATTGGTGAATGTTATGTGCCATGTCTTATCATTTTTAGAGGCCGCATTTCGTATTAGTTTTTTCATGTTTCAAGTAGAGGTGTAAGCCGAAGTATCAAACGGCGGCGGCTGTTTTAATGGTCCAATTTTTTTCCGTGGCGGCGGCGCCTACTAGACTCTATGCTTTTCTACACTGGCGGCGGCGACTACTATACTTTATGTTTTTCTGTACCGCCGGTGGCTTTGACAACCAAAAAAACCAAAAAAAAATCGTTTTTGGTCCTAAAAATATCAGTGGCGGCGGCGCATCGTACTATTATCAAAAATTTTTGTTCATGGCGGCGGTGGCGACGCAGCTGGATGGCTTACACCTCTAGTTTCAAGTATAACTTCATATGCTCTTTCCAACCATGTCGTTAAATTTTATTTGTATGTTGAAACTATGCGCTTAGTACAAAACTTTCTTAAAGGTCACTTACAAAACGCATACGTTTACTGGTTTTATCCGACTAAATTCTTCCTAATTTCACTTCATATGGTATTTTTTCGATTCTGTTGATGTTATTCTGAGAAACTATATCCACCGTTCCAGTTTCAAATAGATAAGAATCATAAAGAAATTATCTCTAGGCCAAAGTTAACTTACCAACAACGAAAGATCAGGAAATATTTTAAATTTTGAGATTCTGAACAAATATTTTCTCAATCAAAGCCTCAAGTAAAATGAAATAGGCATAAAATAGTTAGCGTTATAATAAAATGTCAAACAAGGAGGTTTGATGCGATTTAGAATAAGAAGAAACATTTTCTTTTGCCAAGGGCGTCTCTAATTATGTGACCATGATTTTTTTGAAATTTTCTACTTTCTTCTTCCAATTGCAAGAAACGAAAGGTGGGTGGGTATGGGTGTAAGGTGTTGCTGTGGGTGGGTGTCGGTGTCATTGAAAGAAGAAGTACACCCACATCCACACACCATGCCATCATCATAATTCTAAAGATCCGCAAGACCCACGGTTTTTTTGGGAAAATGGTGCGGTTTTTTTTGGCAAAACTCAGTTTGAAATCAAAAGAACTATAGACTCCTTTTTTTTCTATAAGCGAAATACACAAAGATCTAAAGTCAAAACCTAGGTCTCCGGTTCCAGGAGCTTGTAAATCCCGGTAGGAAAGTCGAAAACGAAAACGCCCGATTTTACCTCTGGAAGTTAGAGGGGTGGTGTAAATAACCAGGATTAAGAAAAATGATATCTTCAGTTACGTTAAGGGAAAGAAAAAAGTTTAAATATGATTACTATGAAAAAAAAATTTTCTTAATGAAATAACTCTGTAGCAGTAAGTTGTTTAGAGTCAAATGGTAGCTGTAGATGCATATAACACTTCGGGCTATCACATCTTAAGCTCAACTCAAAATCGAGTTTTTGGTCAAAAAAGAGGGGATGGGGCACCCTTAAATCAACGGCGATAGACAGGTATATTTATGAATGCTTAACTAATGAAGCCGATTGGAGTTAGTCTTCGTACAACGAAGTCTTGATTCGTAATGTCACTCAAACAGATTAAAACAAATTTTCAAATTGAATTTCAATCTAGGTTAAGATTGTTTCGATGCCCAAGTTCGTAAAACCGTCTGGCTAGCTGTCAATTGTGATACTACATCGATGCGAATTTCAGTCACGATACATTTTCTTTTCTTTGTGTTCAATTCTTTTCGAGTGATGAATAACAACCATTCTGCCATCTTTCATTCAAATAATGAATAAAAGAAGTCTTGTCATATCCATCTATATAGCAATAATGTACTACGTCTAACTAAAGTTGATTCAGAATCTTCTCTTCAAGTCTTTATAACTCGAAGGATACGTTATAATTATCGTGTGAAATTACTAGAGCTTGTCACCTACTATTAGATAGTGTATTTATTATAACTCTTTGGTTTGTCATTTCGAATAGAATTGAATTGAATTGATCAAAATAGTTGCTTATCTTTATATTGAATATTATATAATCCAGAAGATGAAACTTTTAATGAAAGATGTTTTGAAAAATATTTTCTAGAAATATCTTCGAAACACATTGACTGTGAGTGATTTGCCATCACGACTAGCTTTTACAATTGCTTGGATAGAGAATTGAGTAACTCGATACAATGGTACTTTATCTGATGAAATCCTAATTTTGGTGTCACTTTAGTATTTCAGCTTACTTGACTACTTTTGTATCGTGTATCTTGTGTAAATATGAACCGATACGATGTGTATAGCCCGAAAAGACTAATGAGTCAGTAAATAGAAATTATATGTTTTCCCTGCGGCAGAATTTCTTCATGATGATTGGCCGATGTTAACTAGATCGGAATTGATTTTGTGTCCGAAATAAATAATATTTTTGTTAAGCAGGCTTCTTTTGTTTATTTACGGTAAAAATCTAATTATTGTGTGCTGATGTATTGCTGGTCGAATCGACTCATCATACTGAAGATATAGCTGAAATCGTAAACTTTAGCTGCAAAAGCATTATTGACAATGTAACAACAAGAATGTATTATTTGTTCTGACTGAAAATTAGCCTCATCTCTGATTTCCTAATGGCGACGAATTAGATGATTTTGAATGAATAACTACAAGTGACAGTATCCGTTTTTTTTCTGCAAATTATAAGATAACTATAATGAAATACATTTTTGTCATAGATCAATAAACATTTTGGTTTTTTTCGTTCACATACGGTGAATTTTCGTATAGATGCTCTGCAAAAACTACATGGTACTTTGGAACACAATCAAAATAATGTTTTTTTTCCTGTTAACTTGTGTTTAGTTAAGAATAAAAGTAAATTCGCGAAATGCAATGATCTTTATTTTTACAGTATCGACAGTTTTAACTATTCGTTTTCTGGATTTTTCATTTTTCTGTTATTTCATATGACGACAAATTACTCATAGCTGTAGTGTATTCGATTGATTGGATATTAAAGGACAGAGAAGGAAACAACCATGATATTGGAATAAAATTTTATACCAATCATGTCGTAAAGTATGTTATTATTTGTTTTCAAGAATGCATCACAGAATATAAGTAATTAAACTAGCAACGTCATTGAAGAATATTCGGTGAAAATATTGCACGCCCTCGTTTACTTTGGATCGAGAGAACGAAATAAACTACTGAAATTATTATATAAATACAGAAGGTATATATGCGTAGATGGTATTTTGGCTTCATTATTGAGAGTAACAACAGTATGCAGACGATGCGAAAAAAATTGTCTTTGCTGACTTTTTTATTCATATTCATCTTATTGATAAACATAGCTTCGTCGCAAGGCGATACTATCACTACGACAACAACGACAACGACAACAACGACAATGATACCAACAACAACGACAACAACGACAATGATACCAACAACAACGACAACAACGACAATGATACCAACAACAACGACAACGACAATGATACCAACAACAACGACAACAACGACAATGATACCAACAACAACGACAACAACGACAATGATACCAACAACAACGACAACAACGACAATGATACCAACAACAACGACAACGACAACAACGACAATGATACCAACAACAATAATAACGACAACAACGACAACGACAATGATACCAACAACAACAACAACGACAACAACAACAACGACAAAAAGCTCCTCAAATACCTTATCAATTAGGAATAAATGTTAGTTCAATTTCGATATCTCTTATATATGAAATATAAATCATTATTAAATATTATTTTTTCTTTTAGACATAGGTACAATCATATTAATCATAGTACAAGCTTGTCTCGCCTATGCGTAATTACAGTGACCTAATCTTTCACAAAAATTTTCATTTTGACTCTCATAACCCATCTTAATCTTCTACCTTATTTATATTATTCAATATTCCATCCATTAAAATGTTAACTATTTCTAATAAATACATGACAAAGTGTTCGGAACTAGAGTTGAAGTCTTCACACACTATTGGGTTGCTAATAAAAGTAGTTTACATTGCACTATAGAGATAAATACTTCTGTATGATCAATATTACATTTTTGTCAGCTAATAAGTTCCATAGGCATAATTCTTAGTCCAAACACAATAACGTTTGAAGAGAATTGATATTATTGCTCTTCAAACATTAATCTGGTGAGTCGTCTACGCAATGGCATACGAATTTACCATGAGCAGGAGTTATATCAAATGCCTTCATATTTGCATGAAATAGTTAAGTTACGGAAGAATGGCTGAGAATAGTGGATAGATGCGATCGTTTTTTTGTGAAGCACTGGTAACCAGAGAAATATAATCGTAATAATGATTATGCAGATCTTGTTGGATTTTGAAGAGCTGATGTCTTTGAAGCAATGTATTTGAATTTTCGTCCAATAGAAAATATTGACTTCTAGAAATACGCTAAAACCACCTTTCAGGTGCATTTCATCGACTATTGAACTATATTAGTGATCTCTCTTTCACGTAGTGTGATTTAACCGATAACATCAAACAGAAAAGCGTTGTTGAAAAACAAGAAATGTAGTTTTTCTGTGTGAAATAACAAATAGAATGCTGGTTTGGAAACAAGCAGGTGCTTATCATGTAAAAAACTTTAGCTCATAGTTTCTTTTCATGTATGGTTATTGCATGTACAATTATGTGCGCAAAAAATAAAGATTGCAATGTATTTCAAGGATCTTACCGATAGGTAGACGACAATAATGGCTCCATAATTTTCAATCGATAATAAAAGCAAACGAGTAACAGAAAACCAGTGTACTAAGACAAGTAAAACAGCAGAAAGGTTCACGCTGTTGAACATATCTGAGTCATGCCAAGCAACCGAGAGCACTTTGCTTTATTATGAATTCAAAAATGCATTTTCAATCGTAGATGTAGAAATCATCACTGTAATGAATACTTCCTAATTATGGAGTCTCTATCGAGAATACGAAACCTAGCTTTCAGTATAAATTCACTGAAACACATCCATTTACAACTTTCTAGAAACTGATATCTTTATTTAAATTCAAGTTTGTTTTGAATGATATTTCATTTTTAGTTGCACAGATATACATCTTATGTTATAAAACGAATACAACACCAACCACTGAACCTCACATATTCAACATTTAAGATAGTAAGATGCTTCAAGATACTTTCCATACATCTTCTTCGGTTCTCTACAGCATTGTCATTATTAGATAATAGACTTATCTATTGTATTTAATAATACGGTACTAAATACATTCTTTCACAGAAAATAAAAACTTGACACATTAACAATTACAAGCATTTAATGATTTTTCAACTAAAATCAGATTTAATACCATTCAGCATCCAGATAATAATGCAGGATGCTGTATTGAAAACTCTGAAGAATGAAAACTAGTACTACATACATACTGAAAATAGTGATTTTCGCAGTTAAAACTCGATAGTATAAAATTATACAAATTTTTGCTCTAGGAGACTTTTTAACTAGTAGTCATAGTTGCCTACATACTATAGCTTTCTTTTAATCCATTTGTTAAAAATATTTTTCTGAATCATCTTTGATTTAAAAACGTATTATCTTGCTTACGTCATTGCGTGAAGTGATCAGCGGGCGTTTGATTGATTAAGTTTTGTCACTGGAAAACGATGCATGAGAGTTATTTAGTAATTTATCCGCAGAATACAGTAGGTACCAAATAAGTACGATATGCTCTCTTGAGACAGTAATGAAAAACATTTCAATAAATGCATGATTCGATGCATTGAATGCTAATTGATAATCTCCATTCTTGCAATACATTGATAGGTAGTTCGAAAGAATTATGTAAATAGTATCAGTGATTGGAAGTTTTCACTATTTTTCTATGTGTTTCCCGCCAAACAATGTTCAATTAATTCTATTAAAAAACTAGATGAAACATTGTGTAAAGATAAATGTACTACGTCTAACTAAAGTTGATTCAGAATCTTCTCTTCAAGTCTTTATAACTCGAAGGATACGTTGCAATTATCGTGTGAAATTACTAGAGCTTGTCACCTACTATTAGATAGTGTATTTATTATAACTCTTTCGTTTGTCATTTCGAATAGAATTGAATTGAATTGATCAAAATAGTTGCTTATCTTTATATTGAATATTATATAATCCAGAAGATGAAACTTTTAATGAAAGATGTTTTGAAAAATATTTTCTAGAAATATCTTCGAAACACATTGACTGTGAGTGATTTGCCATCACGACTAGCTTTTACAATTGCTTGGATAGAGAATTGAGTAACTCGATACAATGGTACTTTATCTGATGAAATCCTAATTTTGGTGTCACTTTAGTATTTCAGCTTACTTGACTACTTTTGTATCGTGTATCTTGTGTAAATATGAACCGATACGATGTGTATAGCCCGAAAAGACTAATGAGTCAGTAAATAGAAATTATATGTTTTCCCTGCGGCAGAATTTCTTCATGATGATTGGCCGATGTTAACTAGATCGGAATTGATTTTGTGTCCGAAATAAATAATATTTTTGTTAAGCAGGCTTCTTTTGTTTATTTACGGTAAAAATCTAATTATTGTGTGCTGATGTATTGCTGGTCGAATCGACTCATCATACTGAAGATATAGCTGAAATCGTAAACTTTAGCTGCAAAAGCATTATTGACAATGTAACAACAAGAATGTATTATTTGTTCTGACTGAAAATTAGCCTCATCTCTGATTTCCTAATGGCGACGAATTAGATGATTTTGAATGAATAACTACAAGTGACAGTATCCGTTTTTTTTCTGCAAATTATAAGATAACTATAATGAAATACATTTTTGTCATAGATCAATAAACATTTTGGTTTTTTTCGTTCACATACGGTGAATTTTCGTATAGATGCTCTGCAAAAACTACATGGTACTTTGGAACACAATCAAAATAATGTTTTTTTTCCTGTTAACTTGTGTTTAGTTAAGAATAAAAGTAAATTCGCGAAATGCAATGATCTTTATTTTTACAGTATCGACAGTTTTAACTATTCGTTTTCTGGATTTTTCATTTTTCTGTTATTTCATATGACGACAAATTACTCATAGCTGTAGTGTATTCGATTGATTGGATATTAAAGGACAGAGAAGGAAACAACCATGATATTGGAATAAAATTTTATACCAATCATGTCGTAAAGTATATTATTATTTGTTTTCAAGAATACATCATAGAACATATATAATTAAATTAGCAAGGTCATTGAAGAATATTCGGTGAAAATATTACATGTCCTTGGTTACTTTGGATCAACAGAACGAAATAAACTGCTGAAATTATTATATAAATACAGAAGGTATATATGCGTAGATGGTTTTTTTGGCTTCATTATTGAGAGTAACAACAGTATGCAGATGATGCAGAAAAAATTGTCTTTGCTGCCATTTTTGTTCATATTCATCTTACTGACACATATACATTCTTGACGAGAGCAGAATAGCATCACGACATCACGACGATAACTTCAACAAAAACAAGCTTCTGAAGCAGTCTATTTATAGTCAATGAAAGTTAGTTGAATTTCAATGTTTCGTATAAAATAAATATAAATCATTATAAAATGTGTTGTATAGTTTCAGTTACGAAAAAAATGATACGAATCATAACATTAGCTTATCTGCTACGTGGATAGTGATTCAGATTTAAGATTTAAAGAAACATTTATTTCTACAAGAACTCTGATTATTGTTCGAAATCTGTATAAATTATACTTTTTAATATTTTATCTATCAATGAATAAATAATTTTTCATAAACTTATACGAATCATTCTAAGCTACAATCACAAATGTCATGCATCACATTGTAACGGTTATTGACTGGGACGCTTCACTTCATGTAAGCTATCCTCTTCGCTATATTCATTGGCTATGCATTGATCTTGCGGCTAACTCTCATTGTTCTGCTGCGTGATCGTTTCCTCTTTACTTCTATTCGCTCATGCATGATGGCTCTTTTCTATATAAGAAAACATCAACAGTCAGGTTAATGCATTCTGAAAACACCTAATAATCTCGACTTTACAATGTCAAAATACTTATGAAAGACGTTTCAGTGAAAAATATTGAATCAATAATTACGAAATTATTTATTATAAACCAGGCAATCTAACTAGTTGCGAAACCCTGCTTTTTTTTTCAGAAATTATTCTGCTAAATTTTGTTTTAATTCGAAAATATGTTAACCAATTACAATTTTCAAAATCGATGCAAATCTCAATCCTAAATAATCTGATTGAGACATTTCTAATTGCTTCGCATTGATAATCAATACTGAATCCAATTATAATTGGAAGTCAAATTTAATCTTACCAATGCATCTGAATTTATAGGATGCGCGATCAAGTAAATAAGAAAATAGTTAGACTGGAATTAACTTTAAAGAGTATTGATAGATCATTCTACTACAGATGTTTGCATCCAAGTATAATATGTTCAATTGCATAAAGTTGCAAATCTGGAGATTGATACTAATTTTAACATCTATGAGGTAAATCGTGAAAATTTATATATGTATAAATGTAGCTGGCATATGAACACTAGTTTGAGAAAGAGAAGAAATGGGAAATATTTGAATTGAATCATTTTGTCGAATATACTTTTATGAAAAATCTTTTCGACATGTGACCACATTGGAAACCGACATGTCTATTGATAAGTCTCCTAAGTACCGT